ACCACCAATCGCTTGTTACACACCTCCCTCCACCGTTCGCCGTCCAAACCCAGTCCCTTCAGATCGGCTTTAATGCAATCTTCCCACCTTCGCTTCGGTCTACCCCTCGGACGCTTACCATTCGGCACAGCAAATATTAACCTTTTAGGAATTCTCTCGTTACTAAGCCCAACAAGTTTACAAGTCCATTTGATTCGCCGCGATGAAATTAACTCAATTATATTATCCGGATACAGCTCACGCAATTCGGCGTTGTGTAACCGTCTGAACTCTCCGGTTAACTCATCCTTCTTCGGTCCGAATATTCTACGCAATACTTTATTTTCAAAAACCTTAAGACGCTGCTCATCCCTTAATGTAAGCGGCCAAGTTTCGCATCCATAAAGAACTGTAGGCAAGATAATTGTTTTATAGATTCTAATTTTTAAGTTTCGGGACAAGAGGCGCGAACTAAGTAGTTTTGTCACAGAAAAATAACAAGCATTCCCCGCCTTCAGTCTAACCTTAATCTCTTCTTCAATTTCGTTTTTTCTAGTTATCGTAGAACCTAGATACCTAAATTTATCTACCTGTTCAAACATATTACCATCTATATCGATATCACCAGTAGTATCGCCATTTTTGCAGCTAACCATATATTTTGTTTTATCCACGTTTATTTCGAGTCCTAGTTCTTTACCGGCTTTCATTAACGTTGTCGTATTTAGTTTTATAGTTTCAACGTCTTCGCTTAACAGTACCAGATCATCAGCATAGCCCAGCACGGATGTTGTCCCGCCCAGATCCAACCCTTTCTCGGTTCGCATTACCTCCCTAATGGCATGTTCTAATGCCAAATTGAACAGGACAGGCGAAAGAGAATCCCCCTGTTTTAAGCCCGAACGAACCTCAAATTTTTCTGACAAATTATTACCGATTCTAACTTTATTGAGTGTCTCCGTCAAGCACATCCTGACTAGATTTACTAGTTTTTTTGGAATCCCCTGCTCGATTAGAATATTATACAGTTTCTGGCGGTCAATAGAATCGTAAGCCTTTTTAAAATCTATATACAGCTGGTGAACAATACCGTTATACTCCAATTTTTTCTCTAATATTTGCCGTAAAGAAAATATTTGATCAATTGTCGAACGATTCCGTCTAAATCCGCATTGGTAGTCTCCGATAATTTCCTCGGCGTATTCCGTGATTCGACTAGTTAAGATTAAAGTGAATATTTTATAACATACCGGAAGGAGTGAAATTCCTCGATAGTTATTACAATCCGTCCTCGGACCCTTTTTGTGAATTGGAATAAGAATAGATTCTTTCCATTCTTCAGGTAATTTCTCGTTCACCCAGATTTTTTTAACCAACCGATGTATTTTAGAAACTCCAGCTTCCCCGCATGCCTTAATTAGTTCAGTAGGAATATTATCGATTCCCGCTGCTTTATATGATTTTAATTTTCCGATAGCTACTTCAACTTCCTCTTTACTTGGTCCTTCTATTAACGGTTCAGCACTCTGGTACTCAGAAGGAGGACACAGATCATAATTTCCCGTATTTAAAATATTGTCAAAGTGGTCCTTAAACTTATTCAATATGTCAACCGGATCGGTCAGAATATTGTTATTATCATCCCTAATTCCAGACGTTACGGGCCCTACATATTTACGTGATCTGTTTATACCGTTGTACATGTCTCTTACGTTATTTTCGATTCTATTAGTTTCTATTTCAATTATTTTATTTTTAAGATACTCCCTTTTTTTATTTTTGAGCAATTTTGTCGTTTCATTCTTTGAGATTCGGAAGTATTCCAGATTGTCTTCGCTAGGATTATTTAGAGCTTTTAATTTAGCGGCTTTTCTTTTTTCACACATGTTTAAGCAATCTTCATCAAACCACGGTTTGTTATTCTTATTTTCCTTTTTTCCTAGACACGAGTTACCGACCGCTTTAATATTATCTCTGATCTCTATCCATAACTTGTCAATATCCTCGTGGTCCTCGTCAGGAAGCTCTAAAGGTTCAAACCTATTCTTAACATCTAGCTCGAATTGGTTTCTGATTGATGGATTTTTTAATTTTTCCAAATTAAAATTCTCAAAATCGAAACGGTTTTCTTTTCTCTTTTTTATATTAAGTTTTTGTCGAAGTTTCGCGATTACTAATTCATGATCCGACCCACATTCTGCTCCGCGATAAGACCGTACATTAATTATACTGCTTTGCCAGCTGTGTTGTATCAAGACATGATCGATTTGATTTCGTGTTTGCGAATCCGGTGATGTCCAAGTATATTTATGAATATCCTTATGTTTAAACGTCGTACTTTTAATTATCAGGTTTTTCGAGATGGCAAAGTTTATCAGACGGATCCCATTATCATTACTATATTCGTGCAAACTTTCTTTACCAATCGTCGGAATATAAACTTCTTCCCTTCCTACCTTTGCGTTCGCGTCACCTACAATTATTTTCATGTAGTTTCGCGGTAGTTTATCATAAACCCATTCGAGTTTATCGTAAAATTCACTTTTTACTTCATCGTCACTGTCTTCGGTCGGACAATGTATGTTTATTAATGCGATTTTAAACCAACGTCCGTGAAATGTAGCTACCGAAATTCTATCACTAAAGAATTGTACGTCCCTCAAAGCGGATAGTAACCTACTCCTAATTAGAAACCCGGTACCTAAACAATGATTCCCGCTTCCTCCGTACCAAATAGTGTACTTTCCTTCCCTCATCGAGCCCTCCCCTGGCCAGCGAACCTCTTGCAGAGCCACGACATCCAAATTGTACCCATTTACCTCATTCGCGACCGATTTTAGCCCCCCTGCTGTGTTTAAACTCCTTACGTTCCACGTACCAATATTTAAATCCCTATATTTCAACTTGCACCATGAATCCCCTAAAGCAGTCCCCACCCGGAGACCCGAACGGGGGACTAGTTTACCTCCGGATAATGAGCGTTTTACCTTAGGGAGATCCATGACTTTTTGTGGTGTTTGGTGAACTAAAGATATGTGAGTAGGGCGTTCAATCCTACGTCACACCCTCCAGCAAGTCTGGTGGGCCCCTACCTCCAGCAAGTCTGGAGGTCCCCTCCCTCCAGCAAGTCTGGAGGGCCCCTCTCATTGTTGGTCAGCGAGTCCATCGGACTTAGCCGGGAGGAACTTCCAAGGAATTTCCACCGACCATCCCCACATCCGCCACCCGTGGGACGCTCCCCATACGCGGTAATGAGCCCGCGCGAGGCATACAAATGAATAAACAAAAAAAATAATATTAGTTGTTGTTCAAAGTGACAGCATTAATAATTAACCTTTTGAACCTTCCCATTATAACTGGCTAGTGAATACTTATTAGGAAAAAAAAAATCACGTACGAGGAAAACAACATAAATACTTATAGCAGTATTATTTACATAAAAGACTGTACTTCCGGAAATAGTGTACTTCCGATAAACCCGGAAAACAAATGTATAATCTTTGTGCACGACTAAGTCTGCTTAGTCTTGAAGTCATGATTTTCCACCATATTTAAGCCTCCATCATTGGAACATCTTCACTTCGTGTTCTCCAGTCAAGATGGGAATATTGGTAAGTTCACTATTTGTCCAGTAAAACTAAGGATTGACTCTAACATTAAAAAAAATAAAGATGAAACTTGTTTATTACCCTCCCCATAATGAATGAATAGTCGTAGTTCTTGATTTGTTGAATTAATAATCATTTAATCAATAATTGTGACAGATTGTAATATATCTCAATACAACAATTTTCTAAAAAAAAAATAAAAATTATGTTTTGATGAAGTTATGAACTATTGATAGCTTATATTTATTGATAGAAAGATTTAAACATTTTTCTTTTTTCTAAAAAAATCATCAAATAATAAAATTGCTGTTTTATAGCATTTCCAAGTCAATTTCAACCTTTTCCAAATCAAATTAAACCTTTTCCAATTAAAATTAAATCTTTTCCATTTCAAATTCAACTTTCGAATTTTTGTCAATTTTCGATTTTTTTCGAAATGAAGGCCACATACTATATTATCGATGGCATAGCTTTTGAAAAATACAAAAAAAAAATATGATAACACGGTTGTATATTCATTTATTTTAACTTTTTAGATTTTTTCAGTATAATATTTCCATGTGATATTACATTTTTTCCAAGTCAAATTCAACCTTATCCAAATTAAATTCAACCTTTTCCGAGTCAAATTAAACCTTTTCCAATTCAAATTCAACCGTTTCCATTTTAAATTAATTTTTGATTTTTTTAAAATAAGGGGCATTCTCCCTCCCCCTACAATATGAAGATCTATTATTATGCTCCCCTTAGTAGAGTTCAAAAATTCAAAACATTAATTTGAAATTGAAACGGTTGAATTTGAATTGGAAAAGGTTTAATTTGAAATGAAAATGGTTGAATTTTACTTGGAAAAAGTTTAATTTGATTTGGAAAAGGTTGAATTTGACTTGGAAAAGGTTGAAATTGACTTGGAAATGCTATATAATATTCCCCTGAGGATTCATTATTTACTATACGTAAGATTAATAACAACTTAAAAACAGACGTACTTTTATACTATATTTAAAAAATTCATTCATTTAGGGAAACTCCGAGCTAAGCCTTTCCTCCCATTCTTGGAAGGAAAGGCAGGACTCAAGGAGTTCCCAGCGCCTCTCACTCAGCCGCATTACTGATATTAAGTGCCAGTGGAAGCTGAGCAGAGGCGCTATAACCAATTCATGAATGAAGTTTTTACTTCACCTTCAGTGCTGTTAACCCTCATGACGAGCCCTGCTTGTGTTGTCGGCAACAATAAAAATCTTAAAATTACTGCGTCCTAATAATTTATCATCTATTTTAATTTTCTTATTTAGATATTGGTTACAATATTTACAATCGCCATCGAAGTTTGTTCCAGTCAAGAAGAAGTTCAAAATACCGTTTATTACGACGGAGGAACCGAATATTATCAACAAATATCTAATTATCCAGATGGCAGTTATCGTTTTAGGTAATGTTTGATTTTTATGCTTTTTTTATTTTTTTATTATAAATTAAAATTATTTTTCATTGCATATTTTTATAAAACTTAACAGCGAATATGATATTTTTTGAAAATATTCTAAATGAGAAAAGATTTTATCACAGTTCTATTATATTTTTATATTTTCTAAGATAATATTATTTTTAATTCTTGATCGGTAGGTTAACACCAGAAACTATGGACTTTTCATAGTCGGATATTTACTATTTATTTTTTGGCGAATTTAGTCTAGGTACATAAAATTAGATTTTTTTCACCACCTTCTTATGATTTAAAAAAGTATTCCCTATTGGGTGGATGTGAAGAGTTCTTTGCTTCAAACACAAAGGAGTAGGTGGTACCAACTTGAAATCCAATTACTGTCAGAAAGTTGGGAGAAGGAAATTGACAACAATGGACTTTACTTTGAAGAGTAGTATTCAATAATCTTTAAAATATACAACCTGAAATATAGATATAATTATGCGCGAGGACTTTTGTGCCAGCCTAATAATAGGTTGTATAAAAAAAAATTACCGTTTTTCAATCAAATATTTGTATTATTATTTCTTTAATATAAAATGCAATTAATACTCAAACTATAGTACCATTGTTATCTACCGTCATTAGCCATCTCCTAGCCAATCGCTGATACCATTCTTTGGGATGACTGTCAAAGAACTCTTGGACCGCAATTTCAACTTCCTCAAAATTATCAAATTTTTTCCCTTGAAGAAAATGGACCATGGATCTAAATAAGTAGTAATCCGATGGTGCGAGGTCTGGACTATATGGTGGATGAGGCAGGAATCTCATATCAGAAGGGTTTTTCAATAAATTTTCACAAATTTCTAACCTCTTAGCTGATTGCTGAGGAGTAAGTTCGTGAGGGACCAGTCTACTGCTCTTTTTCACCTTTCCATGGAGATTATATGGCGACTAACAGAATCTTTCGACAAAACACATTCCCTGGTAAGTTCGCGAGTACTTGTGGACGGATTTGACTCAACAAATTCCTCTAGAACCTCATCAATATCCAATAATGGTCACTCGGAACCGTTCTTCCTTTTCCAACGTCGTATCTCCACTGCTATTTTTTTTTTCAAACCAACTCCCCGCAGTACGCTGGTCAAGGACACTTTCCCCTATAATTTCACGAGTTGCTTCAGCGGCTGTGAATTTTTTTCCCCGTAATGCCTTAAAATTACGAGAATTTCGTAAGGACACTGTCATGTTTCTTCTTTGAAACAAATATCTAAACTGAGGCTTTTTTAAAAGAAGTCGAATGGAATTAAACAATCTTAGAGAATGATCTAAAGGTATTGAATAGGATTGAATTATTTACAATACTTTAAAATCTTGAATTTGATAAAACGGTCATTTTTTTTTATACACCCTATTAGAACTTTATCAGGAAAATTTTCTCATTGTCACTAGAATATTGTTTTAAATCTCATTTTATTGATTAACAAATCTATTTTGCCTCAAATAAGGACATCGTATATTTGAGATGTAAGTGACTCATTCATACCATATATACAATAACAAAAACAATAAAAATTGTAAAAAAAGAAAAGTTAGCAAACAGAAGAAATAAAACATTAGAAAAATAAATTCATACTTATTTACAATATTTATAGTCAGCTGAGAGAGTTCCATGTCGGACCCTTTTCCTCACGTGTGCAGAATAAGGCAAAATCAGAGCTTCTCTCACAGCCGCATTACTGGGATGGGAATCCAGTGGTGACTGAGAAAGGGCACTAAAGTCTCATATGCTCCTGACTTATGTTGAGAAGCTGGCCTTTGCCAGAACTCCAGTGACGTATTTACAAAAGATCTAAGCCACTGCCGTTTCAACCTTTGAGGAGGATTGTAGGGATGACTGGAACTGGATAAGGATTGTGCTAAGGGATTAGGATGATGGTATGTTCGGATGGAAATTTGAGAATCGGGATGGAATAACGTCAAGGACATAAGAAATGTTTTGTTAGTAACGTAATAAGGAGAAGGATTTTAGATTGGAAGGATTGGATGCGTTGGATGTTCGAAAATTTAGCTGTCCAGTATAGTTCTAGACCGTAGGTCCAGATGGTTTTAGTATGGTCTTGTGTATTAATAATTTATTTTCTATTGAGAGATTAATATTTCTATTAAGTAGTCTTTGTAATTGGCCAAATCGTCCGTTAAGTTCTTTCGTTGTAAGTCTAGTAGTGGGGGTTCTATGTTAGTCTTTTGTCTATAAGCAATCCAAGATATTGAATTGTGTTTGAGACGGGAAGAGGTACAGAGTTAAAATAGGTGGCCAGGTTCTGCTTCGGAGGATAACGGTGACATGCTTCTTGCATTTGGATTCGTTCACCAGAATGTTAGTAGTATCATTTGGATTATTTATGTTTTAAAAAATTAAATTTTTATGATTTCGTGGAGCGTACAAAAACGAAAAGGTAGTAATGACAAGCTTTTTGTTATAAGGTGGATCAGTAAACTCAAGTAAGAAATTGTTGTTTTGTTCACATGAGTATTTGTGATTGATTTGTATTTGTGATTAACGATTGAAATGTTGTGATTGCATAAAGGATAGTCCTACATGATCAGCAACGAGAAGAAGAAGGCTTCTATAATAGTAAAGGTGTCTGGACTGTTAGAGGGAAAGTTAGCTGGTTGAATCCTTCAGAAACCCTAAATCAAACTATCCTCTACCAAGCGGACGACAAAGGCTACCAAGTCAAGTCTTCCGTCGAAGAACTATCTCGCAAACCAGGCAGACCAGGCGAATCAGACCTACCAGTCGGACCAGGCAGACCAGAATTCCCAAGCCAACCAAGCAGGCCAGGAGTACCAGCCTACCCAAGCCTACCTCCAAGCTACCCAAGCCAACCTCCAAGTTACCCAAGCCAACCACCAAGCTACCCAAGCCAGCCTCCAAGCTACCCAGGCACTCCAGGCTACCCAGGCGCACCAAGTGCCCCAGGCTACCCAGGTTCTCCAGGCGGACCAGGCTACCCAGGTTTCGCGCCCCCAATTAATTGTGGCCTAGCTTCTATCTGTGGCTAACTACAAAGTCACTCGATAAAATCTAAATAAAGAGTACAATAAAATTATTTGAGTTATTTATTTCAAAAATATCATTATTCACCAGTATTTCATATTTTTTTACAAAGTTCACTGAAGGAGAAATGTGTGCAAACTATTGAAGGGAAACGATGGTGTGGATTGCTCGAAGAAAGTGGTAGGATCCCTAGAGACCTCCCTAGAGAGCAAACCATGGCATGCTTTAGAATGCTCACTGGCCATGATTTCCTTCAGACGCACCTCCACCGCATCGGTGTAAAAGATAGCCCGACATGCCCTCTGCGTTCCTTGGATATGATGACAAGAGAACATCTTGATACATGCCCTGCATTATAGGATATAAGATGTCCCATTAGTGAAATGGACAGCCCTTATGCTAGGAGAGCAAAATTATATTAGACTGCAAGAGCACGCTTGGCTGAAGAAGCAGGCGTTACTTAGGCATAGGGAAAAAAAACAAAATCATTATATCAAATTTATCGTCTTAGTCTACAGTTTAAAAAATACTTATTTCCTCTTTCTCTTCCACCGACCTGTCTCTCAGCATGGGGTGCTTCCAGCTATCGCTTCCATGCATCCCTGTCCCCGACAAGGATCCTCAACTCTTTCAGATCTTCGCTTTTCGTCTTCTCCCCACCGGGCCTCATCTCTAGAGTTTTAACTGGACCTCTGTGGTGGTCCATCTAGCAGAGATGCCCACACCACTTCTGCTGTCTCCCCTCCATAGTTTCCAGCACGGGGCGTATCTTTACCTCCTCCCTGATCCTGTCATTTCGGATACAGCAGCCTCTCCGCGTTTTCCCAACAATTCTTCTAAAAAACTAGCACGGCTTTGTAACCTCTCATTCAGGATCCAACTCTGTGCTCCAAGAAGAAATACCGGTAGGAAGACAGACTTGAACAGATGGAGCTTCACATCCTGCCCCACTTATTTTTTCCGATTACGGTATTGCATATCGTATAGCAGACGGAATTTTCTTGAGACTTCCGAATCTACTTTTCCCGACTTATGGATTACCGTACCCAGACAGGTAAAGTCTGCCACCACCTCTTCATTACAGACAATACGGATATCCTCTTGAGTACTGCCGACTTGAAGTATTTTGGGAATTGATGGTCATTCCTTAAAGGAATTTCCTTTCCTCTTCAATTCTTCTTTCCACTTTGTTTTTGCCTGCTGAAGTCGGTCGGGTGAATCTGCAATAAGAACGATGTCGTCTGCAAATAGCAGGAACTGTACAACTACAGGGAACCATGTTCCAATGGCTCATGTGCATTCGTGCTGTGCGCCTTTTGCAGATGGAGGCGATCTCATTCATATAGACAATGAAGAGAAGGGGGCTTAGGGCGTCGCCTTGTTTCACTCCTTTTTCGAGACTAAACACTCCTTACTCTTTTCAATTCAGGCGTACAATACCTATCGCCTCTCGATTTCTTAGCCTTTAAAAGTTTTTTTGGGATGTTTTCGCCTTCAAGGATTCCCAAATTTCATTCCTGGGAACCGAATCGAAAGCTGCCTCAAGTCTAAGAAGGCGAGATAAATGTTTTGGTCTCGGTCCCAGGACTTCTATATCACATTTCTCAGGGTAAAGATGTGATCATTTGTTTGGCTGTCGGGCCTAAAAGCTCTTTGCTCTTCCAGGTCAGGTTCTTTGTTCTTCCAGTGGTCTTAATCAGTTCTATAGTAAGGAGGTATATATTTTATAGAGGACTGGAGCGAGCAATCACTTTTACTTACTTTCTTGTATATGGGTATTATAACGTAGAACTCCCATTCCTTAGGGATTCTTTCATTGTCCCAAACGCTTTGGAAGAAGTTTTGAAGAGCTTCTACTAACTCTGGTCCACCATATTTAATAAATTCTGGGACTATGTTGTCTCGGCCTTCTGCTTTCCCTGTCTTCATATTCGCAATAACCTTCTCAACCTCCTCTTGTTCTATCGGATCGTTTCCTTTGTCCTCCGGGAAGATTCTTCTTCCAACAAGAACATTGCTTGCTTCCTAATTGCCTTTAAACTGTCTTGTATAATACCTCCGCCATACCTTCAGCACTTTTTTCTCCTCCCACACTAAATCTCTCCTCTCATTCTTTATATTCCTAACTAGGTTCGCCTTTCTGCCTCTCAGAGCCTTGATTTTTCGCCAGAAGAGCTTGATGTTCTCTCTATGATCAACATCAAAGGTGCCACCGAACTCTTCCCATGCTTTCCTCTTTGCCTCTCTTACAGCTTTTACCCTGTCCCTAGCAATTTTGTAGAGTTCATATTTGTCTCAGCTTCTTTCTATACACAACATTTTCCTATAAAAAAAAAAAATGTATAACGTGTTAGAGCTCAAGATGGGAACGGGGGTCCATAGAAGGCGGGAACAGCTGGAAGTGAAACAGCTGGGATTAGCAACGCGAGAAGCCGTGACGTCACCTGATCAGCTGGCCGTCCAACCCTTCAAGGTCACTGTTTAGGCTTGTAGTTTTTTAATTTAGTTTTTAATATATGTATATTAAAACGAGAATGTTTTAATTTACACACTAATACTAGACAAAATTACAAAATTAATGTTTCTTACTAAAATTTAGGTTTAAAATAAATAAATCTACATATTGTTTCAATTATTTTCATCAAAACGTAAATATTAGGGTTAGAAACATTAAGTTTGTCACTCATAAATACGTATCAATTCCTTTGACAGAAATCTGGGAGAAAAACATTTCAAAACCAAAAAAAAATTTTTTTAAATCATTAAACCTCTCTAACCTGAAACACCGAGGCACCAATGTGGTCCTACAGTGGATCCCCAGCCATTGTGGGATTCCGGGTAACGTTGAGGCTGATATTCTTGCCAAGCGAGGAACAGATTTGCCTCAGCCGATACATCCAAAACCTTACGACTCACTACGGCGAATGGTGAAGATGGTAGTGAAGGAGGAAATAAGAAAAGTACATTTCGGCAAAGTGGAAGGGAAGCGTTACGAGTGGTTGAAGGATAATCCGATTTCAGCTGAGCTGCCGAGAAGAGATGCAGTTGCCTGCTTCCGCCTGGCTGCTGGTCACGACTATCTGCAGAGTCATCTCTACAAGATAGGTGTCGCTGAGGATCCTACCTGTAAATTGTGTCATCTAGGAACAATGGATGCAGACCATCTAGATGCATGTCCTGCCTTGAGGGACATAAGAGAAAAAATATTTTCAAATATAGATATCAGAAAGTCTAAATTATACTGGGCATCAAGATGTCGGATGGCCAAATGACCAACGACTGGCATCAGAAAAAATAAATAAATAAACAAAAAAAATAAAAGGTGTTTTTAGGCATTTATGTTTATAAAAATACATCCCATAACACGGAACAACAATAAATGAAATCATTGCAACAGTTAATTGTAGGAAATTTTTGCTGAAAACACGGGTACTTTAAGGTGACTGGATAGAAAGTTACATCATTTCTTTACACAACTTGAGGTTGATCTCAAAATGTTTCCTAATTAAACTCAACTTAATAAATATGGAAATAAAGCTTATTAAACTAGGGAGTTTTTCTGAAAGTGGGGTAAATGTATTACAGTTAAAGAGTGATAAATAAAATTACGAATAATTTATGACTTTTTTAAAACGGAAATCAGCTGTGTTTGTATGCTCCATAGTCCCCTTTAAATAGTTTTAACAATGACAAACTCTACTTTATTTCAAAGTCAATTTTGTCTGCTTTACTATGGAGCAATGTTTAATTACTTAAATAAAATATTTTTTAAGTTATCTCTTCCTATTCATCAAAAAATTTAATGGAAATAGGGCAATTCAATCTTTTTTTGTTTTAAGGGAAGAACCCTATACAAATATAGTCTACTACAAAATAACAAACATTATTATCCTTATGGAAATACAAATTCATTCCTTTTTATACCACATAACAGATATTACAACTCTCTTAAGCATACATTAAAAGTCATATTCGTTAAAAATCAGACAGTTTAACTATTTCCAATTATCAAATTGATATATAAAATCTAAAATTGTCAACAATATGCATAAATAAATACACATAAAACAATAAAAACATTAAATAAGCATTTTTTAAAAATGTTAATATTAAACTGTGTTTTAAAATTAAATTAAAAGATTATACCTAAGAGAACAAATAAGAAAATACACGGCCAGATTACATGCCGATGTACAATATTGGAATTTTGTTAATTCTATAAGTTGTTGTTACCAATTCTCTATAAGTTGATATAATTGAGGTAAAAAAATATAATTTTTCATATCTTCTGCACTGGTTGGATTAAATATTTCTATCCCATCAAGATTTTCCATACCCTGGTATATTCTTAACCTTTCAACTACTATAAATTGGGTATTTAAATGAATATATGATAAATGAATTGTTTCGTTTTCTTTAGCGTTGCACATTTTACTCTCAAGTTTTGGAGTAATTTTCACAATTTAATTATTAACGGAAATCTGGATGATATATTTCCCCGTGAGTCGGATCTGCATTAATAGTTTCTTATATTTGAAATTAGTCGGTGTCAACAAATACTGGAGGATCTGATCATTATTAAGAAAAAGGTTTAAATGTTCACTATAATATGAGCTATACAATGTTATCCTATCTCCGTTCTGCAAATGTTGTTTATATTTATTTAATATCGTGATAATATTTGTTCCAATTATGGTTGAGTTGGTTTCATAAACTAGATTTCGTTCCCAAATAGTATCTAGCAATACTTTTAGCTGAGAACACCAATTATATTTCGATAGAGCAGGATTAGCTAAGTAACATTATGACCAAAAAAAGGATAAATAAAAAGATAATAAAACAATTTTTAATGAATATAATATTCTGTCGGAATCTTTACTTGTTGAGTGCCTGGCTTTACTAGCCTTTCATCCCTAAAGAGGTAATTATAGAGAATATAAATTACTTACCCATTATTTGGCCATGATTAATCATTTATCCTACCATGCTAGCCCCAGGTGAGAAG